CCAGCTGCACGAGGCCCCACGGGGCCGACTCGGGCCAGCCCGCAGTGGGTGACAGTGGTACTTTATACTTCTCCCTCATAAGCCTGAAAGACCCCCGGTGCCAGCAAGCCCCCTATGTAACAGCTTCAGGAGCTGGCCTGGGGGGGGGGGGGGAGACAAGCAGCCGCTCCAAACACCTAGAAATCTTTCCTTTTTCATACATATTGGCTTTCTCTTTTAAAAAACTGCCACCCTTCTTTTGTCAGCTGGCTGTCAAATGTGACGCGTCTGGCGTGTGGCTTGCCACACCCCGGGCTCCTGAGACACCCGCGAGCCGAAGCAAACCCAGGGCGGCCCAAAGACCTGACAGCTGCCACCAGGTGACACTCAGGGGGAAACAGGCCGAGTGTCCACCTGGACCTTGAATCACGACTCCAAAAAGCACAAGCACCCGAAGGAAAAAAATTAATTGGACTTCATTAAAACCCAAGGTTTTGCGTATCAAAAACCTAAAAAAGTGACAAAAAAGAAAAAGGAAAAAAGAGACAACATGTGCCAATCACGTACCTAACACCAAAAGCCCAAAGGGTCCTGGTCACGCACCCTCGGACTTCTCTGGGCTGGACGCCGGCCACCTGAGATCAGAACTGGACGGGAGAGGGGCCCGTGGGCGTGTGTCTCTCACCCTGCCAGTGGGTTTGGCTCGGGCCCTTGTGCCCTGCTCTGCAGCCCTGCCAGGAGGTCGACGGGCACTGCGAAAGGGGGAAAAGATGGCGCAGTAAAACACCAAACACCCCCAGAGATGAGACACATGCAGCCGACCTGTGCTTCGAAGATGTGGGCCCACTCAGGACACACGTCCAAGGGAGCTGGTGACAGGGACCGGGGCCTCGGTGGCCAGTGTCCCAGAGCAGTGAAAAAAGGGGTCCGTTCCCAGCTGTCTAAACCAACTCACAGGAGGGCAGAGTGAGGCCTGACCCCACCAACCACCTTCTCTGGGCCTTGGTCAGTAGGCGGAAAATGTGCTGAGCACACAGGCCCCGCCCCCCACCGGGCGGGGCTTCCAGAGCTGTTCGGCCAAGGAAGGACTAGGGCTCAAACCTGAGCTCCCACGGGACACCCCAGACCACGCCCGTGACGCCCCTGCAGAGGGGTCAGAGCTGTGTAGACGTGCTGGGCAAGAGTTCAGAAATTTCCAGATACCCATTTTGCGAGAGACCCATTAAGCTTTCCAGGCCTGGCAGGGAGGCCCTCTGCCCTCCACGGACAGGAGCACCACACGTCCCCTCTCCCAAGAGGTCGGAGGAGGCTGCTCCGAGGGACGCAAGCCAGGGCACGGCCCCACAGCCCAGCACACGGCCTCCTGGCCCGTGAGGTGCCGGGGAGACAACGAGGCGACAGGAAAGCCCTGCTTCAGAGCGGGCCAGCCTGCGGCCAAGGCCACGCCCCAGCACAACCATTTCTTCCTCCCGGGCTTGCTGTACCCCGCAGCCAGTGGGGCCTGCTCAACCAGTACGGTGCTCCTCAGCAGACATGGAAACGAGAACAGAGAACTCAGTACACTTGCCCAAAGACACACAGCACACTACCTCGTGGGCTGAAGCCACATTCCTGGGTGCATGGCCTGTCCAGGGGCCCAATAAGGGAACCAGCCCAGCACGACCAGCCACAAGAACAAAGATCAACACCCAGACCAGGCCCTGAACTGGGTCTGGTGCGGGGGAAACGACCGAGGTCCCAACTCTCCCAGGCATCAAGGGTGGGACTGTCATTCATAATCTGAGAAAGCGTGTGACCGATAGGTCCCATGGCAGGGGGTGGCCACATCCAGGGCTTTAAACAGGGAGTCGAGAGACAACCTGAATTCGGAGAACAGTGACCCAAAGGACCACGTCTGACCCCAAACGCAGGCTCGGGGCCAGTCCCAAAGACTGACTGAGCACAAAAGCAAAACCAGGCCTGTCGATCTCACGGATGTGGGGTGCCGTTCAGGTGCTTTTCCTGGAGAGGCTGAGCCGCCGGCGGAGGGTGCTCGGTTCCGCCCACACCCCGAGCTCAGTGCAGAGGGCGGCTCTGCAGAGAAACGGCCCCGTCCCTGCTCCACGAGCCCGGGCTTTCTCAACCATGGTGCTCAGGGACCCTCTGCAGCCGCCCCCACCCTCACCCTCACTCAGGGCTGGCTGGGGCAGGGTCCTGTCCCCAGCCTGACAGGGAACCTGCTGTCGTGTGGCTGCTCTGCTGTCCGTGCCCTGTGCCAGGTCCCCAGGGGCCTGTATGCCCCATGCCTGGTCCACTCTTCACGCTGTGCTGCCCGCCTGGCCAGCACAGGGCAGCGGCTCGGGCAATGCTGAAGGCTCCAAGCCCTGCTGCTCCTCAGGGCAAGTCCAGCAGCACGGTCCCCAGGCTCCACCGCGTCCCCAAATGTCCCTGTGATTGAGAAGGGAGAGCTGGCCAGGGAGTGGGGGTGGTGTTCGAGGCCGTGCGGTGGCCGCCTTCTCTGCCCTGACCCTTGCTCAGTTTACGTCCTCTAAGAAAGCCAGGGACACAGGCGCAACGCTAGGTGTGACCCCTTGTTCTGATTCTGACAGGGCCAAGGTTTCTACAGAGGGCGTCCTGCAGCCTCGGTGTTGAAAAGCAGCACCCCAATTCTAGCAACCAAACAACTCTGCGAGGTGGCCAGCTCTGGTGACAGAGCACTGTGACAGCCACCGCTGCAAAGGACGAGGTGCTGGGCCCGCACTGCTCATGCTGGGACTGCTGAGCCCAGCCCTCAGTGGCCTGGGCCCTGCTGCATTTGAGACAGAAAAACACCAACGGCCGCTGCAGTGCTGCTGCTTACTTACACGATGCACCTGCGGCCCCCGTCAGGGAGGCTGGGAGGCTCCGCAGCCTGTGGCCTGCAGCCAGGTCAGCGAGAGAGCAGCAGCCAGCCCGCCTGGTGCTGTGCCCCTCAGGGCCCCCTCACCTGGGGACCCTGGACCAGCACATGGGAGCCTGGTGCTGACACCAAGAAAGCCAACCCGATGAAGCAGGTGGCCCCAGACAGACATATAAATGTCCCCAGCGCCACCAGGCCTGGACCACAAGCCACCTGCCCACCACGGATGCTGGCTGCCTCTGCCCAGGGCGATCAGCACTGCCCCCTCCTAGGCTGCCTGCCCCTTCAGGTGAGAAGGAGACAGATGAGTCAGGCAGAGACAGGCTCATTCGTGCTGCTAAAACGATGGAGGCAGCTGGGGGCCCACTTAAAAGCCGCCCCCCAGGTCAGTGGCAGAGGCCACAGTGGGGTGGCTGGTGCCGGGTTCAGGGCTCTGCACCGCAGCTCAGCGGTGCGCCCCAAGTGCGAACACTGTCCTCTGAGGCCGGAGGCCCTGGCCAGGGGCCTGCTGCTAGGTGGCCCTGGCAGACCCAAACCTGGCTGCTGATTCCACGCCTGCCGCACAGGCTGAGTCCTGGGGAAGCGAGTGCCACCCCTGCCGCGGCCACACTGCTTTCAGGGAGGGTCACAATGACACCCTGAAGGACAGGGACACTCCCCATACAGATCCTCTGATGGGGAAATTTACGTGCTGGATGACTTCTGGCTGCAGGCTTCCATGCAGAGGAAGCAATCGATAATCCTCCGGGCCACCAAACTGCGTTAACTAGCACCTGTCAAACTTGGACAACACCCCTCGCCCTGCCCCCAACAACGGAATGTTTTCCTCGGAAGGCAGTGCAAAATTAACAGGAAAAGGGGAAAACAAGGCAATTTAACGGGCCCTTCTCCAGCAAACCTTCCCAGGACTTCAACGAGGAGATAATCTTTCTGTGATTATGACCAAACCCTCCCGTTGCTTAGCAACAGATAATTAAGGAACGTGTTTTCAGATCGCTCTGCAGCCCGGCCATTACCAGATGAAATTACCAGAGCCGCAAACGGCAGCGCCATGCAAATCAGTTGGCTGCAAAGAAAGGTTTGACCGTGGCGGGGAGAGCACGGGCCTTTGGAAAACTGTCTGACTTTTTTTCCTGTCACACGTCAGGAAAAAAAAAATCCACATGAGACAAAACCCAGCCAGTCCCTCAGTCCCCCCCTCGGGGGAACCCCCACTTTTCTGCCGTGCCACCCCGGCACCAGCACCCTGGCGCCGGCACAGAACCCAGAGCAGCCTCTCGGGGCTGCAAGGCCGGCCCCCAGGCCCCCCCCCCGTTTAAGGGGTGTCTTCACCCTGTTTTTTGTGCCAACATCTTTTTCCTCTAGTATTAGTCATAGAACCATTTGTTTCAAAAGGATTTGATTTTTAAAAACTGTATCGGGAGGCAAGAGTAAAGAAAGGAAACCAAATTTACACCTTAAACTGTCAGTAAAGCCTCCAGAGTTAACCAGAAATTCTACGTTTGCTCAGAGGAGGCCCACTGGAGAGCTCACCCACAGCGCCCAGAGATGCACCGGAAACCACACACTAACCCCCAGGACCCGACTGTGTCTCCTTGGCTTGGGGCACAGACACAGCCTTCCCCATGTGGAAGCGGACCCCTGCACCTCCAGGGTGCCAGCACCGAGACCGGTGCTGCAGACGGGTTTCTGCCTCTTGCTTCGCCAGCCCCGCCTGCGATCCAGCGCAGGCCCTTCCGGGGGGCGACTCCACACCATGGCGCGAAACTTATGGGGGGGCAATGGACAGGGCCCCTGCCTTCTCCGAAGTCACCCCGGGGGCTGGTGGTTTCGGTCTGTTCTGAGTTCCCCCAGAAACAGTCTTGTGTTGTCACAAACCAACCTGAGCTCCACTAGGGGAGGGGACGGTAGTGGGGACCCCCCCCCGGGGGCCTGTGTCAGCTGGCTCAGCTGAGAGCAGGCCGTGTGGGGGTGTGGTGTATGTGTGAGTGTGTGAGTGTGTGTGTGTATGTGTGTGTGTGTTAGGAGGCAGGGGTGTCTCTCCAGGCCTGAGAACGGCGAGAAGGCCAGGACCTGCCGACCCCCGAGCAAACCCCTGCCCCCTCGGCGCCCCAGAGGAGGCAGGGTGGGGCGGGTGCGTTACTTGGTTCTGGAGCGAACATGGTGGACACGATGATGGGGGCCCCCGTCCGCCGGGCCACCTTCTGGTAGGGCGCGTGCGGCATGTGGAGGCTCTGGCCGGCCGGCGGCAGGGTGGACCGGTCCGCAGGGAGGCCGGGCTTCCGCAGGAGCTGGGCGCCGCCGTGGGGGCCAGACAAAGGCGCAGTGGCCACGCTCCGCTCCCGCTTCAGCAGCTCCATGGGTACCGTGTAGGCCGTGGAGTAGGCTGTCCTCGGATGGAGGGGGGCGGCGGGGCCCGGGCTCGTCAAGGCCACGCCCGCCTGCGGGGAATATGCGGGGCCCAGCCTCACGGTCAGGGCACAAGGAGCAGGAGAGCTGTACCCGGAGTTGGAGGGGAAGTGGGGGACCTGGGCTCCCAGCCCAGGGGCAGCGTAGGTGGCCGCCGGCTCCAGCAGATGCTGGGAGGGAGCACTGGAGGGGCGTCGAGCCAGGTCCCCGACCCGGGGGGGTGCTGCCTGCAGGGGACCCGTGGCGCCCAGAGAGGACAAGTTGCCAAGGAGCTCGCTGCGGTGGCCGAAGCTGCCGGAGCGCGCCCGGGGCGGGGGGGCCGCCTGGCCCTGCCTGCGCAGCTGCATCTCGGTCCTGCAGCTGCCAGCCAGGCGGCTCAGGACACGGGCCTGGCCCAGGTTGGGCGCGACACACTTGATGTCCGAGTCCTCCATTGTGGCCAGGACGGCTGGGGAGTCAAAGCCCTGCTGCAGGAGGGCGTCCAGCGTGGCCTCTGCCACGCCCTCCGCCCGCAGCAGGGCCAGGAACGCGGGCAGCATGCTCCTCGCATCGCTGGGCCCCTGGAAGCAGGACAGGCCAGCCTCGCCGTTCCCGGGAGACATCCTGGAGGGAGCACTCCCCTGCCCGTAGCCTCGACCCAGGGTGCCTGGCGCCATCCCCGGGCCACCTTCAGAGGCAGCAGCGCCAGTGGGGTCCATGACCAGGCACGTGGGGGCCACCTGCCTGGCGGTGGCGGGATCCACAGGCCTCTCGCTGACACCAACATCGTTGTAGGCCTGGCCAGCGGGGTAAGTGGTCGCCTCCGCCTGGTACCTGCTGTGGGCCATCTCCCCGGCGTGCCGCAGGGGCGACGAGGCCCCACTCTGTGCCCGCAGTCCTGGGGCCACCGTTTTACCTGCAGGGTCCCGGTACAGGTGAGCCACGTCCTGCAGCGCAGGGGCCCGGCCTTGCACTTGCTCCCACGCCACCCTGCTGCCAGGCGCTCCATAGCCGGCCAGCGAGCGGCCAGCTCCGGGGTCCCGGTGCGGGCGCAGCTCTCGGGGCGCCTGAGCAGCTCCAGTTAGGTCACCGTAGCAATCCCGCGGCAGCAGGGCAGTGTGCGCAGACATCACTGCCTGTCTGCTGTCGAAAAAGGTGAAGTCGGGGACGGAGCTCTTCCTGCTGGCCACTGAACCGTAGAAGACCTCCCGGCACAGGTCAGGCGCGGGCTCACGCCAGGGCCCCTCTCCACCCCCATCTGTCAGGGAGCCGCTCTGGCCAGGCGACTCGGCCCCCGCCCAGGGGCCGTCATACCAGCCGGCGGCGTCCCAGCTCTGAGAGCGACCAACGCCAGCGTGCCTGCTGGGCACAGGCATGGGCGCAGGCGGGCGGCCGTCCTCTCTGGCGTTCGGCTCCGCACAGCAGCGGCCCGGTGGCCGCACCGCAGCCCTGCAAGCCGGCTTGGACGGCCGACTGCGGGTTTCCTATTGCAAAGGACGACCTGAATTATTAACCCGCGAAACCTTAGTAGACAAAACGCAGCACTCACAGGCACTTCGCCTCCCTCCCAGCGGCAGCGGGCGGGTCTGTGCTTTTCAGTCCCAGAGGGGAGGCTGCCCGGGGCCGGCCCCGCCCCCTGGGCTCACGCGGCGGGGCTCTCTCAGCCTGAGGATTAGGAGCTAAATAAAACCCCAGAGCTTTTGTTCCATGTGACATCTCCAGACGGATGAAGCTGCTGCGGTTCCATCCAGGCCGCCCGGCCTACGAGTGGGAGTCGTCTCCACACGGCGGCTCCGGCTCAACTCCCTCGCCCTCAGAGCCCTGTGTGCAGCAGCATCGGGCCCCCACCCGAAGGGGTCTGCACACGGCCCTGCCTCCCGCTGCCTCCAAGCGACAGAAGGAAAACAGGAAAGGCGGCTTTTATGCCCGTTCATCTTAATCCGCCCGGATGAAATGTTAATCCACCGCACTCGGCTAGGACCAAATTAAACGGGAACGGCAGGCAGGGTGAAGAGACAGAACCTCAGGCAGTTCTAGAACACGCGGCGGCCCTGGGAGAGGGGCCAGGTCTGCAGCCAACGCTCAGCCCGCACTCAACTCTGGTCCTGAGGTGACTCCATGGTGACAAATGCAATGAGCCACACGCTCAAGCCCAAAGGGGGGAGGTCTTCACCTTATTGTCGTAAAACACAGATCCCTCACTGCTGCCGGGGGGGACCACAGAACAGAAAACCGCTGCCTGCGTGTGTGACCTGGAGGCCATCATTTTACAGATTATTTATCTTAGAGAAAAGGGGCGGGAGGAGGGCAGGAGAGGAACACCGATGTCTGTGAGGCCCGCAGCCAAGGTGCATGCCCCGACCTGGGACAGAACCAGTGACCCTTGGCCTTGCTGCATGCGTCAAAACCCACTAAGCCATACCGCCCTGGGCCAGAGGTTACCACTGCAGGACTGTGACCAAGGTCAGGGTGAAACTCGGCTGCTGTGAAGCAAAAAGCAGAAGTGGCCGCACCTTAAGTGCATCCTCCTTATTTAAATCCGTGTGACAGGGAAGCAGAGCCCTGGCCAGAGGCCTGGCTTAGATCCGGGCAGCATTTCCCACACCCCCATAATTACCATCTTTCAGTATGGCGGGGACTCGGGCCCAGGAATGCATAAGAACCACCCTGAACGCAAGCACCAAGACGTCTCCTCAAACAAGGCACAGGGTCCCTGTGAAGCCGTGCAGCAGCCAGTCTGGCTCCTCCGGCCACAGGCTCTCCATAACACAGGGTCACGGAGCAAACAAAAGCCGGATCGGGCAGCCCAAAGGCGGTGCTCGGTGCTCGTCACCACCTTCCAGAACGAGATGATGTGCGTGCCTGGTGCCAGGACTCCTGGGTGCTGGCTCTTCACCCACGTACCCCTCAACCTAAGATTCAACCGGAATCTTTAATGAGAAATGCCAGTCATTACAAAATACCCTTTTATGATGTGAGAAAAACTGAAGCTGCACCAAAGGGAAGAAAGTGGGGACACATCCATTTCCAGGAGCTGGAGGGAGCTGTTCCGAGCAAGACAGTGTCCCGCTGTCTCCCCACGTCCCGACCATCAACCTTTGGTTGGTTAAACAGACAAACTGTTTAAACCAACTCTACTGTCCAAACTGTGCTGGTCCCCAAAAGCCAGAGCTCTGGCCCATGTCCTGTGTGAGGACACTGCCCACGGATGCCCGTCCGTTAGTGAAACACCGCGGACCCCATTTCCAACCCCAAAATGCCAATGAGGCCTCAAGTCATCTGAGAAAATGCCCAGCAGGCAGGCAGTGAACAGACCAAGTGCCCTCCCGGCACCCCTGCCACTTGGGCCGTACGGGGAGGAGCAGGACAAGCCGCCGGAAGAGTGCGGGGTCTCTGCGTGGAAGCGGCCCACCGGTGCGGTTCCTGCCCCTCCATCACCCACACACTCGACAACGTTTACACGTCCCCCCAAAAGCCCCAGGATGTATTCACTTAGTAGACACACAGGAAAAGGCAGGGCAACATAACAACCGATGCTAAATGGAAACAAGCCCTATCTGGTTACAGCAGACCTTCCTGGCACCGCCGGGCAGGCCCAGCCTCATGGGCAATTGTCACCTGGGCCCAATTCCGAGGCTTCCCCACCCCCCACCCCCCACCCCTCCACGCCCAGGGAGCCACAGGCTCCCCCTGGAAATCCTTCTGAGGATGAGCACGAGCCGGGTTTGCGTGGAAACAAGCTGGGTGTTGGGCGGACGCACCTTCGCTCGAGCAAGGGCACTGACTGGAAAGCCTCAGGTGGCCCCAGCCCACATCCTCGCCCCTTTTCCAGCCTTGGCCACGTCTTCTGAGCCATGGCTGCCCTGGCAGGAGGTGACCAGAAAAGGGCATTGAATGTAAGCTTTCAGCATCTGCTCAATGTCCAGGTTTCAGGCCCTGCCAAAGGCGTTCTGCCCACACCGCATGCCAGACACTGGGGACCGAGAGGTGGTGGCTGTGCCCAGGGCCACAGGGCAAGAGACCAGGTCACACTCCAAAACCAACACCCTGCACCTCAGGATTCCCAAGGTAACTGGGGTCACTCTGCTGGAAAAGGGGGACCATTGTCGCTTCCTAAAAATTCTCTGAAACTCCACAACATCACTGTGTTTGTCACTGATGAAGTTAGTTCCCAGAGTGTCAGAAAGTAACTGCTAGGACACAACTGCTCCCAGCCCTCAAAACAGGGGGACCCTGGGCTCCAGTCAGCAGGGACCCCGCCTTTGGCCAAAGGGCAGCACCTGCCTGCGCCTCAGCCTCCATGCTGTTCCCTTTTCCTTTCTTCTTGTAACAAAACCCCAGCACATCAGGAGGCAGGAAGGCCCAGACCCCACTCGGGGCACAGACGTGGCCCTCAGACGTGTGTGACTCTCATGGGGGTTCAGCCAGACCCCGGGACTCCAGTTTTCAGTCCAGGTTCAGAAGCAGGGCTGCGTAGAAGAATGTGCACCCACAGCTCGCCAGTGAAAGGTTCTGGGCCCCAGCCCCTCCCCACTATGCAGCCCCCAAACTCACGCAGCACGGGCTCCGCACCCTGCCAAAGACCACGGAGCATAGGAAGACGACAGACTCTTCCACGCAAACGCCTGCAGCCAGACCGCACTGCTCAACCCAGGCCGATTCACAAGCACAGCGCTGTGTCTCTCAGGAAGGACTGCTTTTGAGTGAACACCGCAGGTGGGCAGGTTCTGACAGAGAGAGGGCTGAGTCTCACAGGTTTTTTATTCCGCAAAGACTCTCATTGCAGAAGTTGTGTAGAGTAGAGACATTTCCAAAAACTAAGCAATACGCAGTCTAAGTTTTCTTGCAAACAAAGCTAAAATGCAGCTGACCCCACAAATGGGGACGACCTCGGGGTTACAAGTGACATCCCCCCAAAGCCAATTCTTCAATTCCCTGCACAACACAAGGCACCAATTCCTGATTGTGGAGACCTGAAAATACTGCAAGGACTCCAGAAGGTTCTGGAGGAGCAGGGAAAACCGAGAAGGGGTGACCACTGACCCCCCCAACCAATGGAACAGCCAGTCAGTCCTGGGGCAAACCACCGGCCGGCGCGCTGTGTGCTCGGTCAGAACACGGCCGGGAGCCCCGGGGCAGCACAGGGAGTGAAGTGCGGTTCTGGGGCCGAATTCTCACTTCTCCCCTTTTCTTTAAAACAAATGCATCAGGTGTGTGGTGGAACTGGCAAACCTGAGGTCTGGACTTACACTGACCTCACTGACTGTCCTCAGGGGACAGCCGGGCCCGATCCTGCAGCGAGCCCTCTGCGCCCACCCGGCCCAGCTCCCCAGGGTGGGTTCTGGGGCCCATTGCTGAGGTCAGTGGGCTAAGCGGAGCAGAAATCAATCCAGAGATGGGAGGGAAGAAACCGGTGGCAATCTGGGGGGCCTGGCTTCCCAGTCACCCCAGACTCCTGTCACCCGGTCAAGCCCAGGGACCTGACACAGGTCCACCGTGCTTCAAAGCCACGGTGGTGCCGCTGCCTGGGGGCCTGCCATGAGCAAGGGACCGGGTGCAGCTGCCGGGAAGTCCAGTCAGGTGGCAGGAGGACAGATCCCCACAGGGACAGGATGCCACCAGCCTAGGGAAGCGGGGACCCATGGCAAGGCAATGGCAGCAGCCACAGAGCAAACTGAGACGGCAGCAGCCCCCACCCTCAGCCCAATACCCCGACCCTCGGGATGGAGACAGAGCCGTCTGCACACGGAGCCCCCAGCCTGGTGTGACTGTAGGAATCTGCCCAGGGCGGCCTGAGCCCATTGGCACCCAGCGGGCAAGGAGGAACTGAGCCCCTCAAAGGTGACTCCTGCGACACTCCAGCTGGACCGCCCTCCCCGCTCCTACGAATCTCTGGGACACAAGCACCACGCCCCAGGGTGTCATTCACACCACGAAGCGTGAAGACTTGCCTGGTCGACTTGTGTGTTTATGTAACTAAGGTAATTGTCAGTAATCGTGAATTACTGAAAATGCGGGCAACCGCCCGACCCACACGTGTCATTACAACGTACAGCAACATCACAAACACCGTTGTAAAAGCCCGCACTTTGGGGCTACAGACGTTTATTACAAAAGATTGTGAACTACCTACAGACAGCAGCTTCAGCACTGTTTCTTTACAAAATGCTCTAAAAAAAAAAAAAAAAAGGAGCAATTTCATACCGCATTTTTCAAAGAGACCTAAAGCAAAACAGCTTACAAATAAAAGCCCAAAACAACTGTGGCCTGAGTCCATGGTCTTCCCACGGGTGGGCACCAACGGGGGGCGGGGGCACGCGCACCAGGCACTGCAGATGCCACCAGCCCCCCCCCCCCCCAGCCACAGCGCCTTGGCTGTCCAGAACCACCACTGCTCCATGGAGGCGCCCCCCCCATGTCCCTCCTGCAGCGCCACTCTCCCCGGCCTCTGAGTGACACAGCTGGTGCAGGAAAGGGTGCCCAGGACTTACGACGGCACTGACTCTGGCCACTCTCCCCATGTCCACCCACAGCCCATCCCTGTCACCGTCTCCTCCTCCTCCTTCTGTGCTCGTGAGCATGGCCCTGCAGTCACAGGGCAGGACATGTCCTCTCCGGAGTTGCTCACGAAGGGAGCTCAGCCGAGAGAGGCCCCGGCAGCATCTTC